ACATTTCATGTTATAGCAGCACCTAAAAAGGCGTAATATTTGTTGGTCACCTTGCATTGGTAATGGCAATGTGTTTACAACATGGCTGTGAAATGTGCAAGAGTATAGCACAGTTCATGTATACAAGGATATACAAGGACTTTTTCATAACATAGTTTCTGGAATATGGTAAATTTTTCACCAACACTTGATAGTTATGTCCCTAAAGAACATTTGCACCACTGAATAATGATGTTGTTGTCACCTTTAGTTTTTTTTAATTATTATCGCAAAAAATAATAAAGCTATGCTATAAATGCCCAACAAAATTACATAAAATTCCAGCCCATATTTTGTAGTTTGAGAGAAAAATAACAGTTTAAGTTAAAAACCAACCTCAACAACTAAAATTTACCATTAAATTTTTTTTTTGGTTTTAGCTGTTGACTTATATAAACCCCAGCATCACATTACTCTTAAGACACCTGATCAAGGGGAAAAGAAATGCAATAGACTGGCAGTGGCATTGGGTCCCTTCTTGGCAAAGCCGAGCAACCATGGCCTGGACACTGGCACCCCAAGACCGAATCAAACAAGATATAAAGAACCATGGTCTTGGGGTAAACACAAAAGCCAAGCAGGTATTCAATGTCAACAGTGATGGTGCTACCATTTCCAGGTCCAAGGAGGCAAAGGATATGACGGTTTTTAGAGACTGTGTCTTCATTAAAAGACGTGCATTCAGACCAGAAGCATGGGAGGAGTTTGCCACATGTAATTACTACTCAGTACTTTTTCTTGATCCAGGTAGTCGTCGCACATGACAAAATGCTTGCCAAATCAGAATTTACAAACCAAAAAACTATCAGGGAACTACTAAACCTGATTTCAGTTTATGGTAATAACATACTAAGCTTAGTGATGATTCCAGTGTGAAAATGTAAAATAATTGAAAATCTTGAATACTCTTTGCCATCTATTTCCACAGATTTTGGATTGATTCATACAAAATCACAAGATACTCGGCCATCACTACCAGTTGCAGTGCCCTCACCACCAGCTGCAGTACTATCAACACCAGCTGCAGTGTTGTCAACACCAGCTGCCGTAAAATCGCCACCAGCTGCAGTGCTATCTCCACCAGCTTCAGTGTTGTTGCCACCAGCTGTAGTAACATCCTCACCAGCTGCAGTACAATTGCCACTAGCTGCAGTGCCATCATCACCAGCTGCAGTGCAGTCTCCACCAGCTGCAGTGCTATTGTGACAGGTTGCAGTGCTGTCATCACCAGCTGCAGTGCCATCTACCACAGCTGAAGTACCTCTGAGTCATACCAACAAAAAACACAACATTATATGTTTAAGTAAGTTAATAAATTAGACCAGAAGATATCATTGTTTGATCAATAATAAATATAATTCTGGGCAATATATCAGCATGAAACGATTTGCATACATACCAAAATGCTACCTGAAATATATATCACCATTTTTAGATATTAATGCATTAGACCCATTTTGATTTACTCAGTGGAATGTGGTCCCATAAATGAAGATGATTTATCAAGAACTTTAAATGAAAGGTCAAAGACAAGAACTGTCAATGCGAAACCAAAAAAGACAAAAAATTCAGGTATTTACTAATTTAATTAAATAATATTTTTAATATACCTAGAAAGGAAATGGTCCCACAACCTCCTGTCCTTCTAGCAGGCTTTAAACAAAATAGGCTTTTTATAGTGTAACTACTAGAAGTGGGCCACTTTGAGAAGGGTTGCACAAGCAGAAAGTTACTTAACAACAAGACAGTGATCTTTTTCACCAATAAACCAATAACAATGAAAAGAAATTAAAAAAATAAAAATGACCAAATTGAATACCCAAACAAAGTGCATAGTGTTGCTAACCTCTCAGGAAAATACTATTTGTTGATTGGTTAATTTCCTTCCTAAATTTTATATGCATTACAAGTTGTGGTTTTGGTTAGTTGTCACAGGATGAGTAGCTTTAAGCTAAGTTATTTGAGCGAGATTAATAAGTATGATGATTTGCTATCAGGAACTGAATCTCTTAGAGTGTATACAATGCAAGGGAGTTGATAGTGTTTAGGCTGTCTTATCAAACAGCACGTTACTTGCGGGCATGAAGCTACCAATCCATTCTCAGTTTACATTATGATAGGTTAGTTTTATTCTATGTGGCCCAATTTGAGTAGTTGCACTGTAATTGGATAACTAAAATTCCTGACCAAAGTGATTTAGTCTGTTTAGCATCTGTATAAGATATTAATAATATTAATCCAGTGATTTGATTTTGATTACCACCAGTGGAACCTGATGCAGAAGAATAACCACATCTGTAAATGGTAAAGCAAGGTCACCAAACAACAACATAGAACCAAATTCAAGAAAACGAACATCATCAGGTATTTAGAACTCACGATTAATTGAAGAACTTAAAGTACCTCTTCATGTACTGCAATCCCAGCATGTGTTATAAGCAAAAAAAGGTTCAATGAACTAGTATCTGAAAATTTAATACAATAAATTACATGCAGTATTCTAATTTATGTCCTTTGGTGCTAATTCTGCTCCAAAATTGCTCTGCAATCAAGATGGATCATCACTAGGCTTGGCTAATACAAAGCATGTAATTACACACAAAATTACAAATCTATACTAGCGGTGCGGATAACATTTTGGGCATCTGTGGAAGTGACAACCGTGGTATTGGAACACGGTCTTCGTTTTGGGGTTGTACCCGTCAACAGGAGAAGTTTTCATTTTTCCACCTTCTCGCGCTTCTCTCGGAAACCATCTCTCCCCCCGTGCCCGCACATCGCGTGGTGGATGTGGATCCCCGTTGCTTTGCTTCTCGCTCCAGCCACAAAATCAATTGCACCGACGCTGAGCCTTCTGGGTACATCACTTTTTCGAATGCTGTCTGTGGCGCTTCCACCTTTGTTCCTGGGCAGTATATTACCGTTTTTCCTGCACTGCAAGTTTGGTGATGACGTTTCAAACTGCACGCTTGTGTGAATCTTTGCCCGCAATGGCTGGATGCATAGATTTTGGCCAGCTTGGTAATGTCTTTTATCAAGAAAGTGTGGCCTTCCTAGACGCCTATCGTCAAAATGTTTGTCAGTTTGGGGTTCAGGTTCACTCTGAGGTGCCAAACCACTTCTCCGTCCGGAAGACGCCCAGGCTCGTAGGCACGGATTCCAACCCAAGATGAGACGTACGGGCCCTCATTCAGATGGGCTTCCACCTTGTCCAGCTCATCCAGGGACGTTTTTCCAAAGTTTTTTGAAATGGTATTTAGTTTGTAGAAACTCTGGGCGAGACTTCGGGCTTCTTTTGTACAATGGTCAGTGCGTGCCCCTCGGTACACAGCGATGCACCGCCATAGGCACAGGTTGTCTTTGTACGTGTCCAATGTCACCATTGCCCGGCCATGGGAAAGGTTGTGCAGCCAGTCGGGCAAAGGCCCTGTTCCCACCAAAGGCTGCCTGTCAAGCACAACCTTCACGTCAACATTGAAAAAGTTTACAAAAACCCACTTCGTGTTGGGCCTTTCAACTCTTTCAAGGTCGAGATGCAGTTCTTCCTGGCAGCTAAGCCATTCTCCCGCATCTTCCAGTTTGTTGAACCACTGTGAGCCCTTGGGGTTCGAGTAGTACACGATCACAGTTCCATCCTC